CATGTTCTCTTGCTCTTCAGTTTTGACAGTATGCCAGCCCCCTTGCCTTGAATTCACTCAGCTTCAGGTTTCAGCTGCGCGAGACTGTATCAGTTAGTGAACTAAACTTTAATTTTACAAATCCATCAATTCCATCAATTCAATTATATTAATGCAGAAGGCTATATTAATTCTATTTTGGTTATTAAGAAAAACAAACTACTATTGATTTTAGACCAAATTAAAATAAATCTGTTTTAAGTCAAAACACAAGCAAGTCCATTTACACAAAGGTCTGCTTTTTCACACTGATGCAAGGGAATCAACTACAGCAACTTTCTAGTGTGTATCAGTGCAATACTTCATCCTCCTTCTCTTATTAGTACTAGGCAGGACTGACTGCAATCTTTCCTTGATCATTTCAGGAATAAATAAAAACAAAAGATCCTGAACTTTTCCACTAACAGGATTACAGGTCASACAGTGAAAACTATCTGGTGGAGTTTTCAAGCTTTTGTAAACATGGTCTGTCACACTAGAGGACTAGACAGTTCACAAAATGCACAGCTTCTCTCTGCCAACCTTCTCTGCCACTTAAGACTTTTGCCCATTAGTTGTGTCTCTGCAACAGGCAACAAGTCAGCTCTGTTTTAATACACGGGGGGTACAGAACAACAAACACTAACAGAAAAGTCCCTTAACCTCTCGCTGCAGTTGAGCATCCATAGCACTTACTCTCCCTTACCTAACGCTAACCACCAAGATATTTAATTCTTCTTCTTCCAAACATATTAATATAATGGATTATTTTTTTTTTACATCTTCCCTTTACCACCTCCAAAATCAAGACTCCTGTTGCTGTCCTAGCAAGTTCATTCCTTGACTACTTCTCCCTCCTCTTTCCCAGCTTCCTTTAACTCTGGCCTTTGCCACAGAACTTCCATCTATCTGGGGCACRGACAGCAATCTGCCTTGCTATCATAAATGAGGAAACGAAGCATCCAAGACTGTCATGCAGGAACAGTTTGCATAGACAAGAGAGAGACACTCAAGAAAATTATTGAGAGTAACAGGACACTATGGAAAGGGGGGAGGGGGAAGAAAAATYAACAGTATTTTTCTTTTATTATTGTTAGAAGCACTAAAGTCCAGCATTATTAGGGCATTTATTTCCTAAGGAAGCAAGTATGTAGTGTTACTAAAGTCTGAACTATACTACTTTTGAACRCAGCAACTGCAGTTCTGCACTGCAGAGAAGCACAATCCAGCCTTTTTATTACAGGAGCAGAAAGTCCATAAGCTCAAGCCCTCCATCAACACAGCAGCCCTGGCTAAATGCCACGGAGGATGCCGAACAACAGTGCTAGCCATCATGCGACCACAGGCTGCTTTGTCATTTAGTGATATAGTGGCTAGCGGTAGGGAAATGCAATATCAGCAAAACCTGCCACAAGTAAGAATGAATTTCAGAAAAATCGTACAACTGTTAAGGTTTCATAGTTGCTAATGGTCAAAGCAGGCTTGTGCCTATCCACAGCATTTAATACAGYTTTTCTTCTGATGAGACCATCTTGACTGTTGACTGCTACTGCTACAACCTTTTTGCCTTGAACAAGAAAAAAAAAAATCAATTCAGCTCTTCACTTTTATTCAAAGTAATATCAGAATCACATGCAAATAACATTATAGACATATGTAAGCGTTCTCAGGGCTTGTTCTAATTCATGAAATTTGCTTAAATCATTGYTGAGTTATAATCAAAAAGGACTGTAAAGGACCTGTTTCACATCTTACACAGTGTGCACTCATGCATGTATCTAGTGAATACAGTCTCCATTAATATACACTACATACACTCACATTCTCCATCACAACTACTTAATTTTCAACTTTACTCCTACAGTTACACAGTTCCAGACCCTCAGGCCCCTCAAAGCTACAAATCTTCTACTTTTCAGACTGAGTGAATTGCCATCATTTCTTAGAAACAGAACTACCTTCTTTTCATTGCACTGACAGACTAAAACCACAACAATCTTAACACATGGCAGCAAGCCCAGCTCTCTTGGAGCTTCATTAGCCCTTTCTGCTGTCTTCCACACCCACATGTATTTAGTAGCCCACTTTCCATCACTGCAAAATGATATTTTTTTTCCTGTTCTACTGAGTAACTTTTCAGCTTCTCTCTCAGACACACACACACACACATATATATATATATATAAAATCATTATCACTTTGTAACTTTAAACTTGGTACCACTTAAACTAAATTTAAAGCAGCTCCTAAACAGTCATTTACCCATACTGCTTGAACTAATTCCTCATCAGCAAACACAGCATCAGTAAGTGATGCTAACAAATAAAAAGATTACCATTTAAAGCTAATATGCATTCGCAAAGGAGCCAGTGACTAAGAAAGGTGATCAAAAGTAAATACTCTGTTTAATCAAAGGCTATTTCCGCTGTGTCTCTATTTGTCACACTTCCTAGACTTCCTCCACCCTCATTTTACAAAGAATTTTCATAATGCTTAACACTGAATCATTCAGTGGGGGGGGAAAAAAAAGAGAGAGAGAGGGAGAGAGAAATTAAGGATCATTTAACATGCTTTACCAACCCCTTGTTCAGAGCCAGACTGCAGCAGCCCTTGAACAGAATTTACATACTTCATTTTTTTCACATTAGCTTGTTTGCACAAGTATCCAGAGACCTTGCACATGTCAGCAGCAACTCAAATCTGATTTTATAAGGGTTTTTTTTTTCTTTTTTTCTGAGGGGTGGTGAAGCAGGAGAAGGTTGGTTTGGAAGGACAGGCCCACAAGATGAAAACTGATATGTCACTTATAATTAAGTTTCAACAATGTTCACTTWTAATTAAGTTTCAACAATGAAATGAGTTTTGTGTATTTTAGCAACTGCTTAACAGTGTTCACACTCAAACAGCCATGACCAAGCTTCGAGGTTAGCATTGAGAAGAAGCAGTGAAATAAGTACTACTACTGTTGCTACTGTGCCACTCTACATGACTGAAGGGGTAGCTGGGCATAAAGCTGCTCCCGAAACAGAGCTAGAGCACAACATTACCGCTAACAGGCAGCACGCAGGAATTAAGAGATACTTCTTTCTCAGTAGACCTCCATTCCCACCATCACTACACATCTAGATAGCAGACACAGTTTGCTCTACCTATAAACAGTCAATTCATTTCGAAATCTAAACTGTTATCTATCAAACATGCCCAACAAGTTGCTCAGGATTTGYTTAGTGTCGCTATTTTTTATCTGGTGGTTTACAAATGTACAGTCCAAGACTGGAGCCCTCAATTCAAGTTTCTCCATTAAAACTCCTGTTTTATATGCCATAATTTACATGAACGGAGCTGACCACAGCCCTGTCCCTGTGAAAAACGATCACAGTTTCCACTAGGAAGATGTCATATAAAGCAGTTCAGCGTGTTTAATGTCTTGTTCTCTTACAGGCACACACTACTACCCTTACAGACATCAAAAAGACGCTAACAGACTCCCAATGATGGTAACACTCATGCTGCATTAAAGAACTGAACACAGGTTTTCCAAGACCCAGAGCAGCACTCAAATCACTAGACAAACTTTCTTTATGATACAGCACACACAACAGGTCCCTAAAAAAAGTCAAGATATCTAATATTCGGAGGTTCATATCAGCATAAAACATGGTTTCCCGAATCTAGTCTTGCCTCTGTTAAAGACCCYTTTTTTTCCCCATGAAAGCCTGGATTCACAAAGTCATGGGAGCAGACAGAGGAAGGGGCTCTGCTCTGTCCCTGAATTGCCTATGGGTACTGACAAGGCACTTACTATATACTACTATATACTGYACCATCTGGAACTTCCATGCTAGTAATCAGTGAAGCATTTTAGCCAGACACTACAGGCTTGCTCAAGTACTGCGTCCAGTCATCTACTGACTTCTGAGTAATGAGCCTTCTATTTCTGCAAATTCGGACATGCTCATTTTCCGCTATTTGACAATACCATGGGATACTAACAAGCTCAACTGTTGTTTTCTTAACGAAATGAAAACCAACAAATACTTAATCCTGCTAAGAGTTAGGGCAAGAGACTTCTCAAAAGGAATCCTTGACCCTAATGTGTACTTTGTCCATCACAATYTCCTGGGGAATTTCTGTGTGCTGCAATGGAGATGGAATTTGGTTACCTGTGATTACATGCTTCTATGCATTATGATTTCTATGCAATTACATTTTTACCTAAGCTTATTAGTTAACCACTAAGGACATGATTTCTTTCCCATTTTCTTCTTCCATGTTGGGATTACTGTCCCAGTAATTCACTTTCCCTGGAATTAAATCAGAATACTGGCGGAGAGCGGCTCATATCAGGGCCGTTCCCAGTAGGAGCCGCGCTCCATCAGCGCTACTGCGCAGGGTGGGGTCCGGCGGCCTGCTCAGACACAGCCGGGAACATGCGAGGGCTCCTCTGCTCTCCTCACGAGCTCAGTTTTGCCTTTGGATCTTCCTGACGTTCTCCCACGTACTGTTAATTGATTTATTTTTATTTTCCAGTCCTCCTCATATCATCCCCCATTTCATTCCCAGGCAGGTTCGGTGTCGAGCTCCAGCGCTCGCATTACATAAAACCTGCACAATGGTTCGTGCTCACGCCACCGAAGTGATCCCTGGAGGACAATTTCACTTTTTTTCTTTTTTTTTTTTTTTTTTTTT